AGCAGCAACAGCAGCGGCCGCAGCAGCAGCAACAGCAGCAGCAGCAAGGAACACAACGGAAAAAAAAACACACACACACACACCAACACACACAACGCATAACACAGACAAAACAAAAACAAGAGGGCAACAAAATACGACGGCATTTTGCAGCTAAACTCCCAAGTCGCTGCTGCGATGCTCTTGCAAGGTAGTTGTTTCACAAGGCATCATCTAATGCAGTAATTAAGCACTGGAGGACACCGCCGCTAGCCGGAACTAGTGTCCCAAAACTATCAAACACTGCACGACAACAGCTGGCCCATATCTAGAAAACTCATGAACCTTGGCCCTGAGACCGCCGCAGCATTTCCACAATGCTCACTGGCGCACCACCAGAGATGTTATTGGATGGGGGAGCATTAGAAGCAACCACACTCGAAGGCTTGCCCAGGAATGCAATCATCGTCTCAAGGTTAGCTGAAATTGCAGCCCGCTTCCCTTTCGCTGTGACAATCGCCCTCTTCAAGCGACACTGAAAACTGACTTTCTGCTCTTTAGGTGCCGGGCTAAAGCAAACCAGCAGGCAAGGCTGAAAAGAATCTCCAGCCATCGCTGCCCAGGGGTAGCGATGAGGCTTCGTAGGCACTCCGGCTCTTGTCATCTCTTCAATGACAATTCCCATGTCTCGAAATCTGGCATGAAATGCAGCAAGCGTTGTCAAAGTCGGAGGGTGGAAAGTAACTGACACAGATGTATTCGCGGTGCCAGGCACAGCGGCAATCTGGGCAGATACATCCCTGACAGCTGCATGCAATTGATCAGGGTCACAGATCATTACAGCAGCAAGATTGATTCCGGATGGGCTCTGCGTAGTCATGCTACCAAGACCTCCGCTAGGAATGGGTTCTTTGGCGAATGCACTGCCACCAAGCAAGGTGTGCGGCTCAGGACCCGCATTGCCTGAAGGTTTACTCATTCTAGGTCGATTGTCGAGCACATTCCATCTCGGCCATGAGACTGTCATTGACTGTGGAGCTCGCTGAGGGGGTGCAGGCAGCGGAGCATGAGGTTTTGCTTTGGGGCGCACACCGCATATGCCTGGAGCTTTGAGCCCGCTTGCGTGAACTACCTCAAGAAGGGCTTTCTCATCACCGCAAATCCATTTCCTCATGGACATGCCTTGGAATTGAATTAAGGCATCTCCTTGGGAGTCCACTTCTGTGACCACTCCATGCAGCCCGGCAACGATATCGAAATGGTGACCCACCGCGTGAGAGAAACTATGGAGGACTCTCACTTGGTCACCAAAATCAAACGTCGGAGGCACCTGACTTCGAAAGGTGTCATCAGCATGCGGTGGCGTTCGCGACCGCACACGCCGAGCTGATGCTAGCAACATGACCAGTCTTCGGCCACACTCTAAACAATTTATGGACTCGAACCAATTACCAACGAATCAAGCAGGCAACAAGAAAAGATCAATCCCGAGAAAGCCGTTCAGCAAAGCCAATCTCGACATGTCACTTAGACTAAGAGAAAAAAATATGTAACCAAAAGCGTTGCTCTGCACAAGCTTGTCGACCAGATGGCGTGCTCATCGAGCATGAAAGTCCCCACAGTGCCATGCGCATTGTAGCGCGACGGAAAATAGAAACAAGTAGGCGAGAGAGGAGAAAAACACGAGAGAGACGAAAGGGGACGTTTTCGAAACGAAGGGCACCCAAAACAAAACAAAGCCACCCCCAACCACCCGGGCCGAGCCCACGACCTACGAAGGGGGAACACGGGTACGAAAAAAGGAGAATTTCGGGGGAGAAGACCCGAAAAAAATGATGACATCCCCGCCAAAGGAGTGAAAAGGGGGTCTGGACACCCCATCACACGATCAGCCCCATCCCAAATGAACGCGCAGAGAAGGACCACCATATCTAAAACAAAAAGTCATACCAGCACAGAACATTCAATCATCAGAGCTAAGTTTCAGCAACCACAAGAGCTATAGCGTTCAGAAGACAATAGCCATACTGACGTTGCATTCAGGAGCTAATGGGTCACGTCGTCGATGAAGCTGCGGTTGCAACAAGGGGCTGCGGTGTGCGAAATGTCACACTCAGTGTCGCCCCCACGCATTGATTCCCAAGGCCTAATCTCCTAATCCAGACAATTGGTTGAGGGAGAAGCGCTGAGAATCGCGAAAAGTGCCTGCAAGCAACAGGCGCCATCAATTGCTGCAAGGTGGGCAGAATCTGGGCAGGCACCGGTTGACTAGCACAAGGCCGCGGCCCCGGGCCGCCCAATCCAAGTGCAGCGATTCGTTTTATAAAGGGACAGAATCAGGGTAGGCACCGGTTGACTAGCACAAAGCCGCGGCCCCGGGCCTCCCAATCCAGTCACTCAACGTCGGCACTCAGTTTCAAACCGATTTACTGCATGTGCGCGCCTGCAAAGTGCATGTGAGGCCGGCGAGTGCGTGCGTGCAGGACGGCGTGTGCGCATAGTATGTCATGCCCGGCGTGAGTATGCGTGCGGGACGGCGAGTGCACGTGTGTAGGAGTACGCATCTCACTTTCACTCTAAAAAGCTGCGGACATGTTGGTAAAGACAGGCATGCCATGCCCGGGTACTTTAAGGAGCCCTGGTGACTTGTTGACGCGTACTCGGGGAGACTAGCGTTTTGGGGTCCATTATGCTATACTTCTAATCAGGAACCCCCAAACTACTATAGGTAATTATTAAGGCCCCTACATAAAACCCTAAACCCTAAACCCTGAACCCTACACCCTAAATCTACACCCTAAACCCTAAACCCTATAAACCCTGTGCCCTAAACCCTAAGTCCTGAACCCCAAACCCTAAACCCTAAACCCTAAACCCTCTGAGGACCTTACCTTCCCACACAGGCAGCTCAGGGTTCGAAAATCGGCACTCCGACTCTGTCCCTCCACCTGCCACTTGAAGGTTAGGTACAAGTGGGGTTATAAGGCTCCTTTTTTAAGTTGCCATAGGGTTGCGGTTTAGGGCAGCTATACTACTATAAGTGGGGATTTATAGGGTTCCTTTAATTTAAGTTGCTACAGGGTTAGGGGTTTAAGGTTTAGGGCAGCTATAAGTCGGGTGATAAGTCCCCCAATTTTGGGTTCCAGACACAGTTACCCTACTTATAGCCCCACCTATTACTACCCCGAAGAACCTTCAAGCAGATCACTTCACTTCCCACGATCTGCCCATGACGGCATGCCCTAATCCCTAAACCCGAAAGCCCCCAAACCCACAGCCGTAAACACCTTACGTCGCCAAACCCAAAAGCCTTAAAGCCTGTAGTATCGGGGCCTTAATAATTAGAACAGGGTTTGGGGGTATATTATAATAGAATTATAATAAGGAGCCCCCAAAACCCTACTCTAAGTATTAAGGCCCCTACATGGGGGTTTCCGAAAATAGGGGACGCTGATATAGTAGCCTAAATAATAGGATCCTTATTCTAAGGACCCCACAACAAGGTACCCCTAAACCCTAAACCCTAAACCCCAAAACCCTAAACCCTAAAACCCTAAACCCTAAACCCTAAACCCTAAACCCGAATTTTCGGAAACTTCTACATGAAGCCAAGTCGAGGCGGTTCACCTTCGGGCACGTGGTCCGAGGGGTTCTGCTCGGCGTCCTGCGGACCTGCGGAGTTGCTCGGGTCTTGTATGTATGCCAGTATGTGTATATATATATATATACATGTGTATATATATATATACATACATGTGTGTGTATATATATATATATATTAGATTTGTTGTTACATAGTATATATCGGATAATACATATGCATGATATATGATACTCATACAAGTACGACCCGAATACCACAGCAACAACCTTCCCAGAAAGCCAAGCCGAGACAGCTTGCCTTCATGTGACTCGTCAGCTGACTCTGGCTCGTGGCGCACGACGTTGTCTTGCATACCACCTGCATTGCTGGTTATTACCCGGTGCTTTGACGGAAAAGCTCAAGATTACTGCTTTCATCAACTCGCCCTACACTCGCAGGAAGCGTGAACGTCGTCGCAACCCACTGTGGTACTTCCGGAGTCAAGCGCCACAATTTCAATAACACAAGCTCCTGGACCGAATAACGCCATACAGCAACATAGGCATAACTAGCCACAAGAGGGTTTTGGGTGCATATGCAAATGTAGACTATAATATATATATATATATATAGCAGAAGAATCCTGAATAAGAGCATTCGCAAGTAGACCTTCTGCAAAAAACTCCCTGCCATGGATCCCGCCTTCTCCTGCCGCCAGATATTCGTTCGAGGAGCCGCTCTCTGGGACCAGCATGGCACCTGACCGCTTTCTGGACGGCGTAAGGATTCAGGTTTAGGGTTTAGGGTTTAGGGTTTAGGGTTGGGAACAGCGCGTCGAGCAGTACTGAAACGAATTGAACTACCGGATCTCTTCAACTGCAAAGGCGCATGGCAGGTGCTGACAACGTTTCTGATCCCTAAACCCCTGAACCAGAACACCTAAACCGGAAGCCCTGAACCCTCAAACCGAAGTCGTTTTGAAGGGTTCGCGGCCTTCCTGACGGGCACGGGCTGCGGCGGAGAGAGCCTCTACATCGAGCAGCCACGCCTGTGAAAGGCTCACCAAGAAGGAAAGAAACCAGTTTCCTGTTTCCGGTTTTCTGACCTTTTAGCAAACCTACGCCTAAGCAACAAAAATATAAAGAAACCATAACTAAACCCTAAACCCTAAACCCTAAACCCCTAAACCCCTAAACCCTAAACCCATTACGAAGGGCTTTGAGCAGCTGGGGGCTCCAGGGATTTCGCAAAACTATATGTGTAAACGAATGCAGGGCTCTGGGAGGACAGAGGCAAGTTGTGTTGAGACACTGTTGTTGCGCCGACGCAGCTTGCACCGAAAGAAGAGATCCCCATGCGACTTTGCCTGCAACAAAACTCTCCTTCCAGACTTCCTCGACCCAATTTCTGAAACCCTGCCTTGCTGTGACCCATGGTGCTGCGGTATTGGGTGACGTCCTCGTCCTTGAGGCGATCCTTATCCCATTTTCCAGAAGACCTGAGCGTCAAGCAGAGGCCTTGGAAACCTATCTCTATCTGTCTAAGCGTATATGTGCACATGGCTGCATGCATGCATACGTCTTTACATACATTGCACAAATGATACGAGTTGGGAAAACTACATGTGGTTTGCTAATATTATATGTTTGCCTTGACGTACTGGTTGTTTATTGTTACCAGTAACAATACTACATGTTCAAATCCTGAATTCGTACTGAGGGTTTTAACCCATGTGCACTAGTTATTTCCCTCCTGCATTGTCTTATGCCTTGTTCGTCTGCGATCTGATTACCTATAGAGTTGTTTCCCATTGTACATTGTCTGGTAAGTCATTATTGCCCGGCTTTTTGCTTGCGCGATTTGTGTCCCAATTCTGGAAGTGGTAAGAACAGTAATATTGGCAGTTAGCACTAGCAGTAGCAGTAGCAGCACTACAACAACGACGACGACGACGAGTAGTAGTAGTAGTAGTCGTCGTCGTCGTCGTCGTCGTCGTCGTCGTCGTCGCGGTGGTGGTGGTGGTGGTGGTAACAGCAGCAGTAGTCGCAGCAGCGGCCGGAACAATAGTGGTAGTAGTAGTAGTAGTAGTAGTAGTAGCAGCAGCAGCAGCTAACAGTGCTGCTGGTAGCTGAGGAAACCGGTTGACATCACTACGTGCGTCACTTAACTGTTGTTGCTTCCGAGGTCAAGATAAGTCGTACCAGTGCTACGATTGCTCATGTTTTGCTATTACATCGCTGTGATGGTTGCTATTCCACTATGAGTACTGCATACTACTGTTTATACATGTCAATACAACAGGTCTTTTTCGTTCGAGCTTGCTGAGCAACATAGCACCCCACCTCAACGTTCAATCATGTCACGTTCACATTGCAGGTACTTCAAACAATACCGCTCACACAAGTGAAGTGCCTTCGGTATCCTTGACATGCATGCTCCTATAACTCCAACACGGGGGCTGCCCAGGGTGTTGTGTCAAGATTTGTAAACAAGTGCACAGGAGGGAATTTTCGATACACTGCAGCGTACACAAGAAATGCCCCACATCCAGGAACTTAGGCTCAAGCCCCCTACGCTTTTTGTACGAGCGGTTCAGCTTCTGCTCGAGGTACAGCTTATCCGGCAAGATCTGCACAGAGTTTGCAGATTCTTGGGGACAGAGCTACTTCAGGGCTGCATGCGTGCTGAAGATGCAGCACCACAAACATAATGAGTACACTCACGGAGCCCCACTTACCATATTTCCATAAACGCATGAAGAGAAACACAGAACACCAAGATCAGGTGCTGCTGCGACTTCCGTACAATTACTGTCAACACAGCCTCCTGCATCACAGGCATCACATAGCACAGGCCACGCAACCTTGCATCCCAAAACCCCCCAACTGAAACGAGTTTCATGAAAACCAGCCAAGAACACCAATTCAGTCTTGAACCCATCAACGCATGCAGCATCTAACTCAGTTATCGAAAGTTAAGTGAGATTATGCATTGCGATGTTCCTTGTGTATCTCCTCGCAATCGTCGTCACAATCATCAGTGATCATCTGTACTGATTGTTGCATTTTAATGTCAACATGTAGTTCCTCCGAGTCATGATTGAATTCCATCTTCTTTCGCCGTATGTCGCATGCATGCTACCCCATGCTCGCATCCTCACTTATGTCATATCTCATCTCCCTGCATTCGAAAGTCGTGAGGGACTCAAGTGCCATACCGTTATAAACTTGCCTTTGCGTGGCTGATACTCTTGATATCCCACCGTGTTCAGAAAGGACCTCACCAACTTAGCAGCAATGACCATCCTCGCCAAACTCTCCCGTTTGCACGTGCTGCTGAATGCCAGAACGGCCATTCTTCTTGTCAACGTCCAGTTTCTTGCTTTTTTATGAACGAATTCAGCATAGGTATTGAAGTATAAGTAGTTCTGCTGCGACGACAACAGTAGCAACAACTACAAGAACAACCATCACCACTACGACTACTACGACATACTACGACCACTAGATCGCCTTCTGCTGCCACCACGCTCAGCAATAGTAAAAAACACAAGGCAACATAATACTAAAACATCACATTACATTCTAGGGCTTCCTAAGCCCGTCCGGGGACAAACAAGAAGCCTTAATGTACGGTCAGCACCGAGCAGGAACGGTGCTTCAAGGCTCTCTACAGCTTCATGAAAAGGGTTGTAGTCCGGGGTTTGCAGCATTCAAGTGCCCTGCAAGCGAAAGGTTTGGTTTCTGGGTTTTGCCAGTTTACGTTGATAAGTTAGGGTTTAGGGTTTCAGGTTTGGGGTTCATCTACCCTACACCCCAAACCCTTATAGAACCCTTCAAGGAACCCTTTCAAAGGGAGCCCAAAACTCTATTTCATCTAATGAGGATGATCCCAAGCAGCGAATCCTAAGCTTCCGGTGCACAACCGTGGGGGGGAGTTTCGGAAGGGACAGGGGCAAATACTGCTACTGGTTATTCACACCCGTGTAATGTAGGGGCCTTAATAATAAGAATAGGGTTTTGGGGGTTCCTTATTATAGTTGTACTATAATATACGCCCAAGCCCAGTTTTTGTTACGACAGGCTCCTCTTCTAGGAGCCCTATAGCGGAAACCCTAGACCATACTGCACAGGCAAGCACCAAACCCTAAACAGTAGAAGCCAGAAAGTTGAAACATCATTATCCTCATGCCCTGCGGTGAAGCAGCGGGAATCACTGTACCCTATTGCAACAGACCTCTTGGATTCTACGACCCAACGGAGACACGCTCAAGAAGCAACAGCCTCGTCAAGGTTGACCGGAGGCACCTGAGAGGAAGGTTTAGGGTTGAGAGCCAGCACAGGATGGTAACGTGAGGCTTGCTTGGAGGTTCATGGGTAGATATAACCGGGGTTTTTGGAAGGGTAACAAAAATGATGACCCATATTAGGGGACTTATACCCCCTGTATACATACCCATGAACCTCCAAGTAGGACTGCTTTAGGGCTTCAGGTTGGGGTTTAGGGCTTGGGGGTTACTATGTTGCGGTGTGGCTTAATGTTTGTGAGAGGATGTGGATGCATAGTGGAGCTTACTTAGGACAATGTGCTGCAGGTCTAGACTGCAATTTGCGTAGCCTGACAAGAAGCCTAGCCCTGTAAATACTAGGACGGGATGCGCAGTGCAACTCCATCAATCTTTCAGACTATACCGCTGAACAAGGTAAGTTTGATCAGGTGCCATGTAGACGCTACCATCGAAGGATAAGAGATATACTACCAGCAGCAGCTACAACAGCAAGGCAGCCACAACAACGGTGAGCTTCACAGCTTAGCTTTAAGCAGGTAACACAAGTATTGCTCCTCGTCGCCACCATCGGTGTCGTGAACTTCCGTCATTGTCATCCTCACCATCTTGCCATCATACATAAAACCAACATCATGGCCATCTCCGTCACGCTGCTCATCATCACGATCATGGAGAACATCATCAGTGTCGCCACGACCACCACCAACAACGGCACCTCGTCGACCACCACCATCATCATTGCCAACATCACTCCCTAATCCACCTGAAGTCCGCTCTTGTCGTAGCCAAGTGGCCCGGACGCCGAAGACATCGTCGGGATCCCAATCTGCCTGGCTTCTCACCACCTCCTTATAGTTCTCGGACCACCTGTCCGCAGCTTGGCAGTCCGGGAAAGGTCGAAGCAGAGCTGCCAATCTTCTCCCGGAAGGTTTAGGGTTTAGGGTTTAGGGTTTAGGTCCTGAAAACGACCCTTTTTCACGGTCAGTGCCACGACGCCTTGCAAGAAAGCCTGCCCGAAAGCCTGAACCACGAGATTTCGAGAAGCTAGGGTTTCGATTCTACCAAGCGTAAACAACCCTAAACCCTCCATCCTTAACCCCTGAACCCCAAATCCCAAACCATGAATCCAAAACCGTCGCACAGCCTGGGGCTGCGCTTCCCTGCTCTCAAGTGCTCCAGGTGAAGCTCCATTTCCTCCTCGCCCAGCAGTCTTTTTGGGTTAGAGGCTTTTGGCTTAGCGGGCCCAGGCCCCTAAACCCTAACCCGTAATATAGATGCTCAAATAATTACCAATATTACTCTTAGAGTTCCTTGTGGTAATACTACTATAAAGGAGCCCAGAAAACCCTATTCCGGCCATTAAGGCCCCTATATTAGGGTTTTTGAGGTGCTTGCAGGGATATAAGCTCCTCTGTGTGGCGGAGGTTTAGCAATGGGATCACCGTAGATGTCGGACCCCCCTAAACCCTAAACCTTTGGTGTCGGCCCAAAGACCTAAGCCCCTAAACCCCTTAAGGAGCCCTAAAGGCATACTTTCAAAGGAACTTTTAGGGTTTAGGGTTTAGGGTGTAAAGGGAACCCTTAAGGTATCCCCTGAAGGAACCATGAAAGGACCCCCTAATAGCCTAAAGGACCCATGCAAGCAGACCTCTGCAGTTCCCTAGAGCGGGTTTAGGGTTTAGGGTACCCTAAAGAGTTCCGCGGGTTTGAACTCCCTAGAATAATCCTAAACCCTAAAGAGTTGCGAGGGTTTGAAATTCCATTACCAATGGAAAATGAAACAGATTCCTACGGTTTAATCACCCCTGAGGATGAAGGACTTGGGATTGGGGTGTAGGGTTTTAGGGCTTCAGGGTTTTAGGATGGAGATTCCTGCAAAACGCCCGCTTTAAGGCCCGAAGCCCTCGACCCTGAAAGCCTAAGCCCTCCAACCCAAAACCTGAAATCCAAACTCTAAATGGTAGCTGTTTTTATTTAAGGGTCTTTCGTGTCGCTAAATGGCAGGGTTTAGGGTTTAGGGTTTTAGGAAACCTGAAATCCAAACTCTGAATCCCTAAGCCCGAAAACCCAAAGCCTTGAACCCTTACCGCAAAAAGAGGGGAGTAGGAGAAAATCGAAAAGAACAACAAGAAAACCTAAAGCCCTGCATAGGTTTCCCAAGTACGACTGTCCGAAAGATTCGGCGAGGAATAAGAAACCTCCATACTGGGCCCTGATGCTGTTCAAAAGCCTCATCTTTAAATCCTAAACCTCGACTCGCTGTTCTCTGCATGTCGCTGAACAGGCAAAAGATCGTTGGAGGAGCCATGTCCATGTCTATATCTGTATGGATAGGTAGACAGATAACACGAATTCGTCTGTATACCTAAGGCCATATGTACTTAAAGAGGGATATAAAGGGACTATGGATCTGGGAATCGAATTCCAGGCATGTGTCGCGACAGCAAGCAGCTAGCAGCTTCCTAGGACCAGAGCGGCTAAATGCCAAGACCAGGTTTAGGGTTTAGTGGGTTTAGGGCTTAGGAAGTTTAGGGGGTTTAGGGTTAGGGTTTAGGGTTTAGGGTTTAGGGTTTAGGGTTTAGGGTTTAGGGTTTAGGGTTTAGGGTTTAGGGTTTAGGGTTTAGGGTAACGGTTTAGGATTTAGGGTTTAGGGTTTAGGGTTTAGGACCTATAGGATAGATCAGAAAGAACACAGAACAACCTAATTTCCAAGCGAAGGTCCGAGTCCATGTCCACGAGCTCGCCCTTGCAGCAGGCTGTTGTTTCGATGTTGGACGTTTCAGTGATAAGGTTTAAGGTTTAGGGTTTAGGGGTTTAGGGTTTAGGGTTTAGGGTTTAGGGAACCCCGGAAAGAATCTAAGTGGCAAGATCCTGATTGTAAGGACCCCGCGATGCCGAAGACAAGGCCTTTCAAAATCCCCATAGTATGACAGCAAGAATTGCAAGAATCGCGCTTGCGACTTCGCCCAACCTCCCCCGAACAACCAGGCGCGGGCTCGCAAGCAGGGGTCCACAACTGCCCTACACTCGGCCCCCTGCACCTTAAACCTCACACCTTAAACCCTAAACCCCCATTCCTACACCCTAAACCCTAAGCCCTGAACCCTAAACCTTAAACCCTGAATCCCCATTCCTACACCCTAAACCCTAAACCCCCAAACCGCATCTCTGTAAAGTGCCTCTTAACCCTACTTGGAGGTTCATGGGTAGTTATAAGGAGGGTTATAAGTTCCCTAATATGGGTTATAACTTTTGTTACCCTACTTTTTACCCCACTTATAACTACCCTTGAATATCCAAGTAAGATCGCCTAACACCAGTTGGATAGTCCTCTAACTTGAGGGTCTCTTTTTGGGGGTCCTTTTTGACACGGGTGCAGTGCTACTTTGGGGACCGAAAAAGGACCCTAACTTAGAATGGTTTAGGGTGTAGGGGTTTAGGGTGTAGGGGTTTATTTAGGACTACCCATCTGAAAGCAGCGTCGTCAGCACGAACTGCACACCAGAGCTGGAGCCTTCAGCCCTAAACCCCAAACCCCAAACCCGAAATCCCAAACCCCAAACCCTAAAGCCTGAACCCTTAAACCTAAGCCCCAGGCCCCAAACCCCAAACCCAAAACCCCAAAACCCGAAAACCCAAACCCTAAACCCTAAACCCCAAACCCCAAACTAAACTAAGTAAACACCGGAGTCACAGTTGATGCGGCCCATCTCTTCCCAGGAGAACAACCCGGAGACACCAACAAAGATCTTAATTTAGAAACAGACTTCACATGCTAGGGCTTAGGGTTTAGGGTAGACCTCACATGTTAATAGGAACCCTAATATGATTTGAGGTATGTTGTATACCTCAAATAATGCAGGATTCCCATAAAAAAAATGTAAGTCTATTTAGGCATATTCCTTAAGTGAGGGGGTTCCGGAGTCTCTAGGAAGCTACAGTAGAAGCCGGCAAAGATGGAACCCCAATAGCCTCAATCCTTAGGAGTAAAGAATGGGGAATCCCAGCACTAATTGTCCTGAATCCGGTTTCTAACTTTTTGGGGTACACCCCAAACCCTAAACTCTAAACCCCAAACCCTAAACCCGAAACGTTTTAAGGTTTGGGGTTTAGGGTATGTTTTTAAGCTTTGGGGTTTCAGGTTTGGGGCTTAGGGTTTAGTGTTTAGGGTTATTAAAGTAAGTATGATCTCCTTGTCAAGGACCCCTTGAAAGCAGTCCCTCTTTTTCAGAAACCCGCAGCTCTGTAATATGGAAGCCGGAATAACTGCAAACATACCTCCTCGTGTTTTCTTATCATAACTATGCGTTGTAATCATGCGACTCTGCCCGAACCCCTGCTCAAATTCTTACGGCCCCTGTCTTAGTGGATCGGCCCTGGCAGGCCTGGGAGGACATCTCGTAATTCTCCTCCGGATCTCGCGGTGGCAGCGGCTGCGCCCTGATTTTGGGTGGGGTTTAAGGGTGGAGAGTTTCGAGACTTAAGAGCTTAAGGGTGGAGAGTTTCGAGGCTTAAGAGGTTTGTTTTTTTTGAAGAGTTTCGGGAGGCTTTCACGGAGTTTCAGCGTGTCTTTGGGGGAATTTGGGGCCTGCTTGCTTGTTGCTTTTTCGTTTTTCTGATAGGATACATAGAGTCCAAACTACCCATGCGCCCCTAAGGCTTGACATGAAGCTCGAAGGAAACCCAGCATAAACCCTAAACCCCAAACGTTAAACCCTAAACCCTAAACCCCAAACCCTAAAAAGGTTTGGGTTTATAGGGTTTGGCGTTCGGGGTTTAACCCTCAAGAAGCTGGTTGTTTGGTATTGACGTTACGGAGCAACGGCTTGCCGTTGCGTACAGAGACACGGGAGACTCATCTACAGTCTTTAAAGGATGTTTGCAGACAAAGGCTTCACACAACCTTTAAGCTTCAAACGGCTGCATGTGAATCATAAACCGTCAAGGTTTGCACGAAATTAGGCCAGTAGAGGCTTGCTGCTAGTTGGGATTTGGGATCAGCGATTTCCGCCTTCCAGGGAGACTTGCCCTCGCCACCTACTTCCCGAACTCTACTAAAGTTAATTTAACTGTTTAGGGTTTAGGGTTTAGGGTGGGTTTAGGGTTTAGGGTTTAGGGTAAAAGCAAAGCCGAAACCCGAACCCGTCGCCGCTGCACCCAGCCGCTAAACCCTCACCTGATGGCCTGCACCCAGACTCAATCCCAGTAACTGTATAGAAACCCTTTACCGGATAGTAATACCGACTCTTACAGAAGCCCTTTATAGTAAGTAAGTAAGCCTTATGACAGCAGTTTTTTTCGTAGCCCTTCTAGCAAGCGTGATGAAACAGGACAACTTTATAATAACCCTTACAGGAGCCCGTGAAGTAACACATATAGGGATTCTTTCGTAACCTTCATGTAATCCCAAATTGGGCATCGCGCCGAATCTGTCGCCAAAGCCTTGCTGACTGGGCCCTGGCAAACAATCGATACTTCAGGTTCTGGGGGCTGCCTTGAGGCCTGGGGTTGCGGTTTCACTTGGGGTTATACTATCTTCGACTATGCCATACTATAGTATACTATACTAGACTGCACTGTACTGTACTATAGTATGCTATACTAGACCATACTATACTGTCCTGTACTATACTATACTAATATTTGTATTGGGTACAGGGCCCATAAAGCCCTTTGAACATCTCCAAATCCCAACGCAACATCGACAAGGATGTTCTAACCTACTCCCCTGACCCCTGACCCTAAAACCTTACTGTAGAGGCCGGAATACTTAGATTACGGCTTCGGGCGGCTTTGGGGGGTAGATTCTAGTACATACATGGGGACTGTAAGGGGATACTATTACTAATTATCCCGATCTCTACATTACTCACCCCAATGCTTTCTTCAGCGGCTCTTCAGGCGTCACTCGAAAGCTTCGGCAGCCCAACAAGGGCGCACAACCCAAAGCTCCCTCAACCGCTCGAAACCGACCCCAAAGCCTTAGTAACTAGAGCAAGGCTTTTGGATATATATATATATATATATATGTATATATATATATATATATTTGATTTCTTAAATATATTAATAAATATGTATGTATATATATTTATATATACAGATGTATGTATATATATATATATGTGCGTATGTATATATATATATATAATATACAGTAAAACACTTTCTTTGTACAGGGACTAAGACTGAACGGGCTAGTATTACTAGTTGTTCAAGCCTCTGCATCAGGATACCTTCGGGCCGGGGATCTGGGAGCAACAAGCTCCTCCATGTGACCGAAAAACCACATGAGGCATTCTTTCGTTTAGGGTTTAGGGTTCGGGGTTTGGGGCTAAACCCTAAACCCTAAACCCTAAGAGGGCTAGAGACTCAGTGCTTGGGGTTCGTGATCATGGGAACCGACGTGACTCGGCCAATAGTTGTGGCTGTGACCAGCCCCCTAGGCTTTCGGGTTAAGGGTTTAGGGTGTAGGGTTAAGGGTTAAGGGTTTAGGGTATTGCCCTGACTTGTATTACAGCACTCCGAGCTGCGGATCTGAACCTTCTTTGAAAAAAAGAAGCCGCGGGCCTTGTATGGCACGACCCTGTCTTTTATGGTACTTGGAGGTTATGGGTAGTTACAAGTGGGGTTTGGGGTACAAGTAGGGTAACTGTAATCATAACCCATAGTAGAGGACTTATAACCTCATTTATAGCTACCCATGAACCTCCAAGTAAACCTGCATCTTGGAATAAACCGGAGTCCGAGCTTGATGACAACCTCTTGGACTTACTTTGCAATGAACAACGGGTGCAACAAGAACACCGGTGTTGCTCCACAAACGCCTCCAGACCTCATTGCAAAGCCCCCCAACAATTGGATCCTTCTTACAAGGACTGCTGAATGAAGTAAGCTATGTCAGAGAAAAGCCTAAGTTTGCTTGGGAGAAAGGCCTGCTGTTCGGGGAGATGCTGTCGCCTGCAGCCGACTGGTATAAGGTTTGGAGTTCACGGATTTGGGTTTGGGCTTTGGGGTTCAGCTTCAAGATCCTGTACTTCTCAAAAGTTTGCAGGGTGGGAGTATGTGCGCAGGCCACTCGCGCGAGTGCAACTGCTACTCTGCCACCTCTACTAACCCTGCTACAACCGCTGGTGCCACTGCTACTGCCGCTCTTATTATCACAGCCACCACCACGATTGGCAGTGGTGGTGGTGGTAGTAGTAGTAATAGTAGTAGTAGCAGTAGTAGTAGCAGTAGTAGTAGCAGTAGCAGTAGCAGTAGCAGTAGCAGTAGCAGTAGCAGTAGCAGTGGCAGTGCCAGTGGCAGTGGCATTGGCAGTGGCGGTGGCAGTGGCAGTGGCAGTGGCAGTAGCAGTGGCAGTAGCAGTAGCAGTAGCAGCAGCAGTAGCAGTAGTAGTAGCAGTAGCAGCAGTAGTAGTACTACTACTACTACTACTCCTCCTCCTCCTCCTCCTCCTCCTCCTCCTCCTCCTCCTCCTGCTGCTGCTGCTGCTGCTGCTGCTGCTGCTATTGCTACCATTGTGGGTATTGTGGCTACTGCTACCAGTCCTGCTACTCCTACTCCTACTGCTAGTGCTGCTACTGCTGCTGCT